GAACATACTGCTACTTGATTTTTATGATGGAGATGTTCGTGATTGCCTTTCAGTCTTAAGGCTTTCATTTATCGACTAATTTTTGTCAAGACAAAATCATAGTTGCTGAAAGCAAATCAATTCAGTTACAGACGTTTTGAGAGATAGATAAAGATCTTAAAAATGGTTTATTATTTTTTTTTTCTAGTATCGACATCGCGACTTATCAGATTCCGTAAGGACCGATCATTTATTGACCAGACCGCAACATTATAGATCATAGTGGAAAAATCAATTGAGTGAAATTCACCACTTTACATCAACTTTATTGAGTACGAAAAAGCATTTGACAGAGTGGATAGAACAACCCTATGAAAGATTCTTCGACACTATGGCGTGCCTGTGAAGATAGTCAATATCATACGGAATTCCTACGATGGATTAAACTGCAAAATCGTTCATGGAGGACAGTTGACAAACTCCTTCGAAGTAAAGACCGGTGTCAGGCAAGGATGCATACTCTCACCCTTTCTCTTTCTCCCGATGATCGACTAGATCATGGAGACGTCCACATCTGAAGGGAAGCACGGGATACAGTGGATAGCTAGGATGCAGTTGGATGATCTAAACTTCGCAGATGATCTGGCTCTTTTGTCGCAAATGCAAAAACAAATACAGGAGAAGACGATCAGTGTAGCTGCAGCATCAGTAGCAGCAGGTCTCAACATACATAAAGGGGAAAGCAAGATATGGACAGCATCAATAATGAACACGATGGACCTGATGCAGATATGAAGACAAGGATCAGCAAAGCAAGAACAGCATATTTAAAACTGAAGAACATCTGGAACTCAAAACAACTGTCTACCAACCATCACCGAGGTCAGGATTTTCAATACAAATGTCAAAACAGTTCTAATGTATGGGGCGGAAACCTGGAAAAACTACGAAAGCCATCATCCAGAAGATGCATGCGTTTATTAACAGTTATCTACGCAAAATACTTCGGATCCGTTGGCCAGACACTGTGGGAGAGAACAAACCCGATTCCAGCGGAGTGAGAAATCAGGAAGAAGCGCTGGAACTAGATAAGGCTCACAATGGGGAAAGCACCGAACTGTGTCACAAGACAAGCCCTCACATGGAATCCTCAGGGCCAAAGGAGGAGAGACCAAAGAACACATTACGCCGAGAAATGGAAACAGATATGAGAAGAATGGACAACAATTGGACAGAACTGGAAAGTAAGGCTGAGGACAGAGTGGGTTGGAGAATATGATCGGCGGGTTATGCTTCATTTGGGGTAATGGGTGTAAGTAATTAAATAAGTAATCACAATTTCTCCCAGGCTTGTGAATTTCAAGTCGTTCAACGGAGGATTGTGCACTGTTACGTTAAAATTATATTCTGGATCCTCGTTGAAGCTAAGTCGATTGAACACACCTAAATAACGACCCAAATTACATGAAAACCAAATTCCAATTCAGTTGACAAAATTTATTTTTAAATTCCTGGTAATCGACCGAAGCATATTGTTGTAATGTGGTGGACCAGACAATATATGAACTCAAAAAGGTAATAATAGAGTTATTAATAACAAATAATAATGTTCATATACATAGGTCAAATGTCAGAAACACAATAGAAATAAAGAACGTTACTTGGTTCTCCAGACTAGTGCGTGTTCTACTTTGATCTGGTACCAAATATCCACAATTATGGACGGTTGATAATTCCGGTAAGTTTAATGAATTCCCCAGTGATATGATCCAATATACGATGTGGTATATTCTAATTACAGTCTATAAAGGTAAATAGTATCTGATTTAGACTTCGGTTAGCTCAGCCACAAGCGAATGTAGAACGAGAAGTATGTGCGCAACGATGTATTTGTTAGCAGTTAACAATGTGTCATGCTATGCGTGTAACACAACGGAAGAAAGTGTTCAAGGTCATACATTTAAACAACAGGTACAATCGTTTAATGGTAAATGTACATGCAGTGGAAAACTGACAAAATAAATACAAATGGCATTGAAAACTATTTACAAAATAAGCTTGTCAGGTATATCTCCACAGTAATAATAATCATAACATTTCACAATAAATTTTTAAAATTTAGAACAAAATGTATTCTAACTTCCTATTCATTTTCATGGCTAAAAATAGACGGATGATTACAGCCTCATGAATGACAGTTGCATTCTTCAGTCACAAGTACGTAATAAAAACTGTTTTCATCAGCTACAGGCAGTACATGAGTGTTATTGACGCTGAGCAATAACACAAATACTTCTGATCGTTGATCACCCCACTCTCTCTGAACTAACTACTATACGGGTGTCCACCAATCATCGGGAATTGAAACAACCAGATTCAATCATTAGAGGCATATAAGGGTCAGTGGACAATGTAGGACCTTATATATATGTGTGTTTGTATGAGCGTGAGACAGAAAATTGCACCCATATACCTTTTATACGACAATAACATCGTCATTTTTCAAATATTCAGCTATCCTTTGCAACCTATTGATTTTCTTGTACCATGTCTACCTTTTGGATCAATGACAAGCCCATTTCTTATCTTTATTTAAAATCATGTCTCTTTAATTGCACTACATCTGTTATGTAGTATTCCTCTGAAGAGAGCAACTTTTAATCTTCCAGACTTTATGGATTTGCGGCTCCCATCTTGGTTCACCGTTCCTCGTTGTTTACCTTTGAACTTATGTGTTCCTGAAGGACAGAATAACGTTTTCTGAACTACAGGTACAGCTTTATCTCTTACCAAATTGGTGGTTTCAAATTGCCTGACCATTTAACTGTTTGATGTCTTGTAGTTTGACTGTACAGGGTGATCACATATGTGGTAATATTACATTATTATGTTGGTCTGTAAATGTTTGAGACATGTTGACTGGGTGACACTATAGATAATTCAGTCATTATAATACGATGCAGATTTTACCTCTCTGATGTGACTCTAGGCTTTAATTAACTGTAGTACAATTGGTGGATATTCTATTGTCAGTGTTGATATAAATCCAATCCAATGGGCACACTGTGTTGCATATCTTCTACGATTATTGGTCAGCTTGGATTTTGTAAACTGCTTAACACCAGCCCATGATTTCAAATATACTTTCGTACCACGTCCTCTACTTCTTGTTCATTAGCTTTGAGATCATTACGTGCGAAGAGATTTTTGACAGAGGTATTGACAAATCCAACGTATCCCTTATCCTCTAAGCATTCAAATGACTAACTCAATTAAGTAACGGAACTCTGAACATTTATCAAGAGTTAGGTTTCACACATTTCCTGTCAGGCACTGAAGAACTTTCAATCTAATGGCTAAACTGATATACTAATTTCGGCAACCAAAACTATTCAATAAGATCATGGTATCCAAACAACAAAAAGAGTCGCAGAAGTATAGGTGGAATTGTATGCTACTAGAGTATATTAAAAATGGGAATAAATAATATTGGTGCATTATAATTGAAAGTTCAATTTACCGCAGTTGTACAATTTAACACCTGTTTCATGAAATCCTAGATTTTGTTTCATAACCAACACGATTATGTGAATCATTAGTTTGATCTTCTGATAATTTCATTACCTAGCCAGTTTTATTCAATAAAAATACATTATTCCAAATTTTGTATCACCAGCCACTGAAATTTGTCTCTAATTATCTCCTGGAAAATCAAATAAATGAAGTCTTTGTTTACTACACCTTAACGTTATTTTCATATTACTTACCGTTTAATGTTTTAAATGGTTAGAGGTACTGTTCAGAAAACGAGTAAAATAATATTTTTTTGTTGAGGACTTTCAACCACCTAACATCTCAATATAACATACAGGATTTCGAATCACCTAAACTAGCGGACAAAGCAGTGTGATCGATATATTTCTAATGAACACTAAAGAACTAGATAAACATTGTAATGACCACAACTAAGTGGTCAGTCAATCGTAACTTTTTTATGTATCACTCTCTGTTACGTATTAATATGATTTATTAGTCATAACGGATTATATTTCTATTTCAACAAGCCATTAATTTCATCTGTTTGTATTCTTTTGTTGATGTTTTAATAAGTTCTCCTCTAGTTATAATAATACCTCTCCATTATGGAATTATTTAGTTAATATTAGGAACTAGTTGGATATAAACTGATCAATTTAAATGATATGATATTATCAAATGATTATGATTCAATAAAATTTAACACTTTCCTTAACTTCTCATTACTATGTAATGATAACTAAAAATGGACACCGCAGTTTTAGTCAATCATTATCGATGTTCTTCACATTAAGATTCTTATTTTGTTACAAAGTATTGTACAATTCTTAATAAAAACATTATGATCAAGTTAAACATGTAATAATAATCATTATTAGTGACTTTATTCAATATCATATTTTTGGTACAATATAGAATTCTCAGCACAAAGTATTTCATCGAGTTTCCTCTCCTTATTTCTTCATCTATCCTTACGATATATGTTGAGTTATCACCAGTTAGATTTTAGCAGTTCAGGAATCGAAATCTGAACAATGATCATTCTTTACAATGCACATTAACATTCAACACAATGTCTCTGATTGTACTTTTTTGTATATTGTACGACTAAGGATTGTAAACTTTTCATAAGGGCACTTAAATAGGTTATACGAATAAGGGCCATAATGATGTGTCAAAACAAACAAAAGATAGGTAACTTGTTAAGATATGTTGATATCAGAAACAGGTAGCCCAGATATTCAAACAGGCCACCAAAGTATAGTATAAGATTCAATAAATTTTACAATTCTTTAAAATTCAAAACTAAAAGTATTTGACATTTTAATAAACATTTATTTACTTTCTTTGATTTGTGTACAGAAATTATTTTAATATAACAGAGGATATTACTCAGTGATTATGAATTATTATAATAATTTATTATAACATCTAATTCCGCAATAAATCATTTTATTTCATACTTGTGTTAACTTTGAAATAATTTAATTATTGTAACTATGTTTCAAAGAAACAACTTTTCCTAAATATGTTGTATAACAAACATCACCAAGAATCAGTTCATAGTTAATTGTATTCAGATGTATTAAATTAATGTCACGAATAGGTAGTTTACTCGGATTTCCATGAATTAAAACAGTTGTATAACCACTGGTAATCTGAAATAAAAAAAACGAATGTAAGAGTAGACAGATAGATACAGATATTTAAGAGTATTGAAACACATTATTACAAATATAGACTAAACTATAAAACCGAAATATTAATCAGATTTACCTTTATTGTGAATAGAGGAAGAAATAAGCCAGAATAATCAGTCAGGTTTAAAAAAACACCAACAATTATATTAACGTATTGGTGATTTGAAGTCTGTTGGCTTACTACTTTTTTGAGTTCTAAATATTTATGAAATTCAATTTATAATTCAACTATTCAAAGTTATTTCACAATAATTATTCGTTGAAAGAAATCGATTAATACAAAAACAGTTTTTGTGATAAACCAAACACAACTTAAAGTACAGCGGTGAATTTGAAAAACACTAGTATCTTGATTTAAAAACATTTCCAATGAAATGAAACCTAACATTTTCAAGTCTCGTATCGATCACTTGTTTAAATATTCAATATTTGACGTTTTGAAGTTGAAAGTAATTTAGGCAGTGGTAGATCAACCTTCTAGTATCTGAGACTCGCACTGAAATTGTTCAAATAGACTAACTTTATTTCTGATAATTGTCGACCATGAAATCTTATCCTTCGCTATATATATATATATATATATATATATATATATATATATATATATATATATATATATATATATATATATATATATATACTTGTTATATTAAGGACAATTATTGATTGATGCTAATACATCGCCATTCATCCTGTAACAATAAATGTTATGGGTTCTAGTGTTTTATAAAAGAATTGAAGTGCATTACAGACTGTCGTGATGTTTTTCAAACGGTAGATCGAACTATTTCTACTAGATAATCTGTTAATAAGTTCAATGATCACAGATACAATCTTCGATAATTATTGCTGCTTAAAAACAGATTGATGAATAAGGATTGATTCGATAAAGAATTCATGATTTGTACAAATGAACTATGATTTAGTCTGGAATTTCGCATTTAAGTGTTTCATTACAAAAACAAAGTCTCACAGATTGACACAAATGAGAAAATGTGAATTTAATTTGATAAACGGATCAATACAGTAAAAATTATTATTATTATTATTATTATTATTATTATTATAAACAATAATGGTTATTATGGTTTTATGTGGAAACTTTCCCCTCTTTAAATAAATCATTCTATTTATTTTGTTAATTATTTTATTGTAATTAGTAAGGTAATTTAAAGCATTAGAATTACTTTATTGGTAAATAACAGATTTAAAGCAATTAGTCCCTTTTATAAATTTCGATAATGTAATAAGAAGACGGAGATTATCAAAACTATGTGATATATTAGCGCAATACATTTCGAACAATCTGATCACACATATACAGAGGATAAACATCCATCATCCTCTATTGCTAAACATATAATTGAAACAGGGAACAAGATTGATCTAAACTTGGCTTTTGTGGTATTATATAAAAGTGTAAAAGGGCGTATACTAAGGTTTATTGAAGCCTTAGCCATACGAAAATTCAAACCCCCTTTATGTATTCAAAAACAGTTTGTTCTTACCTTAAACCTACCCTGGTAATATTGACTTATTATCCAGAGTGATTAGGTTTTGAATTGTGTTCAGATTATTATTAATATTATTATTATTATTATCATTATTATTATTATTATTACTCTTATTATTATTCTTATCTCCTCTCACCCCATTTCCAGTCTAGTTGACCTTTATTTTTATATATAAATGCTCTTAACAAGTATATGTGTGATCAGATTGTTCGAAATGTATTGCGCTAATATATCACATAGTTTTGATAATCTCCGTCTTCTTATTACATTATCGAAATAACAGATTGTTGGCTGATTATTTAGACTGTTATGTTCTTATTGTTACATAGAAAACATGTAGCAGGTTTAAGTAATTCAAAGTAAACAGATTGTTTTAAAGATTTTTCTTAACTACAATAATATTTAGCATATTAAACTTGTTTATCAATGAAAGTTAATGTTTATAGATGTATTTAGATTATGTACAAACCTTTCCACATTGATCTTGTTCAATATGAAATTTACGTAGTGGATGATATCTTTCTAAAACTGTATCATCATCACCTAATAGACGTATATTTTCAGCTAAAGATATAGTAGAATTAATTGTCATATCTGATAATCCAGAACAGGATAAAGTTAAACGTTGTACAGCCATATCACTTGATAATTTTAAAAAATTCAATTGTTCTGATTCAATAGCATAGTTTAACTAAAATAGAAATAATACAGATTTAAGAGTATAACTCGAAGACAACGGAATCGAATTCTGAAATTTTAATAATTAGACGTTTCATATAATCTTTGATAGTGAAACAGTTCAAAATCAATTTATATCGTGTAAGAAGTTGTATCACATTTCTGTAAACTATAAGTACTGAGTACGTCTATCTCTTAAAAGCAACATGAAATTTTGTTGATTATTTCACATTGTCAAATTCTCATTTTATAGCCAAAATATGTCTGAAAGCATTGTTTCTTACCTTTTTGGTTGTTTTACTAGTACTGTGGTGTGTGCTACTTATGTAGACATAAGTAGCATATGATGTTTGTCGTGAACAGAGTGTCTGGCAGCAGAGAGACAAGAAGACCGAATAGAAAAGAATGAAGACAGCATGCAATTTGTATAGAAATGCAAGAACAAAGGAAGTCTGAGTCATTTGAGACAATTGATGGACATTTTTCAAATTAAGCACTTATTATATGGTTGTTAGATTTTACTAAGTAGTTCTGTAATTTGTTGTCAAATACATTCGATTGTCCCCATTGCTGTTCTTGTTCACTACAGTACTACCACTATGTTTACTATCTATATTCCTAAAAAGTAATAATCTTTCCTTTTTTGTACTGTTGTTTATAAGATAGTATTACGTGAGATTATAACGATCTCTGTTTTTATACTCTGTATTCAGTAATTCATTCGAAATAATACAAGACCTAACACTAATATTCATCAACCTTTCGATGCAAGTTAGAAGTTACGAATCAAAGGAGTTGAAGCAATATTAGTATTTATGATAGTTAAAAAGACTCGATATAGAAATTATGATTTAAAAATAAAGAATGAGTTCATTAAGTAAATAGCATGGAGATTACTCTGTTCTTGTTGTTGACAAAGAAAAAAAGAAAAAACCCATTCCATCGCGATCAATTTTAGACTGTGTTATTCAACGTTTCGAACCATATGGCTATAGTTTCGTAATATCAGTCAGTCAGGCAACTTCAGTGTAAGACCAGGCACACATATGCATATGCCATATGTCATTAGCACAACTGGATGAACACCAAATTCATAGAAGCAGATAATTCAATGGTAGTAATATATATAAATATTGTATATAAGGATACGATACAGGAAGAGAGAATCCGTGAGTAGAAAGAAAGGTATAAAGCAATCTTAATCTCACGCTATAAGGGAAGAAAAAGCCATGTCACCCAGAGTCCCCAACCATTGTTTGCGATAGTTACGCAGACATCAACTAAGTAGTCTGCATCTACCAACATGGCTCAGACCAGAAGTCAGTGACTTCAAGCACTGATGCCACGTTTTGGTTTTGCTGCCCCTAACTTTCTTCCAAATGTCTCGAACACTAGTTAGCTGTGGTAATCGGTGGTTGGGCATGCGTCATACGTGGCCCAACCATCTCAGTCGATGAAGATTTACAACCTCATCAACTGATTTACCATCATTCCCTAATACTCTGCGTCTAAACTCACTATTACTTACCCGGTGATCCCAGCAGATGCGGGAAATATTTCTAAGATATTTAAAGATAAACGATTGTTTGAGCACAGTTGCAGCAGACGTTCGCCACTATATGTTCACAAAGCTGAAATACCGAAATACTCACCTAAACATATTTCTTTTTGGTTTAAGCTACTTACTTATTCAATTACTTAATTATGCCTGTTACCCCTCGTTGAGAAGCATAGGACGCCCACCAGTATTCTCCATCCAACTCTGTCCTGAGCAATCGTTTCCAGTTTTTTTCAGTTGTTATCCATCCTTCTGATATCTGCTTCCCATTCCCAATGCAGTGTGCTCTTCGGCCTACCTCTTTTCCGCTTCTCTCCAGGATTCTAGGTAAGCGTTTGCCTCGTGATGCAGTTTGATGATTTCCTCAATGTATGTCCTATCCACCCGAGTGTTTGGCTTTTTGAAGAAATTTTGAAAGCTTTCTGTAAAAGTCGCCTTTCACTTCATCTGGACTGCAGTCATTGGGAGCGTAGTCAGAAACGATGAAAAGGTAACGGCGTGTGTTTCTATCCTTCCAAGTTCTTACAGCTCATAGGCGTCTGTTAACAGGGACCCATTCTGATAGTGTATGCTCTGCCCTCGTACTTAGTGCTATACCTAAACCCGCCAGTCCACGAGAACTTGCTGTCAGGTTTCCATATAAACAGAGGGTGTATCTCGTCATCTCTCTGTTTTGGCGAGGTGAGGTCAGGTGAATGACCACACTAAGATCCTGTATGTGTGCTTTAAAGACACAGCATACATCGATGGTACGAGATTCCAGGGTTTTAGCAAAGGAGGTCTGCTGAACGGTTTGAAATAGTGTGCGTACGTTGAAGGTTCCATTGTTTAGTTTGGAGCGAGGTTTCAGGAGATCTAGGACAGTATTTCACGCACTAGAATCATCGGACATGGTGACACTCAAGGAGGAAATCAAATGAAGAAATTTAGAGTTGAAAGTCAAGGTAGCAGGAATAATATGGAGTGAAGAGGGAAGTCGATTATAAATAAAGTGGTCTCGAGTACTATTAGAGGTATGAGGCGGTTTTCACTTCCCGGCTGCCAACATTGTTGGAGGGTTCTTCTAGAGGTACCTGAGAAAGAAATCGGTTTAGAGGTGGTCTTAATGACCTGAGAATATGACTGCGGTACCCAAGGGACGACTGCTTTAGGCCGATCACACATGACTTTTTTTGTGAGTAATTTTTGTGTACTTGTTGAGACCATGCCACCGGAGACGGATATCCGTGGGATAAGCTGAGGTGTATATTTTTAGGGTTGGCCTTTTCTAACACTAACCTTCCTTTGTAGGAAGGCAGAATCACTGTTTTGCTGGTTGTCTGAAGGCAACACCTTACTGTCATCACATCTCTCTACAGTCAACAGTACGCCTTCTCCCCTGGACCTTGAGTTTGTTACTTTTAATCTTACTATTCTTCAACAGACCTTTCTTGTATGGTAAGAACTTGAGGAACGATTGTTTCAGTCAGTATAACCCGATTAGTTCATCACGATAGGCAAACCCTACCATCACTTCAAGGTAGCAGTAACGATTGGGAGAGTTATTTAGGGTGAGTAGATGACATATTAGGGGTTATAAGTCAGCGGTCTAGCAGAGCTTATGTTGAGTTAAGCCATGAATATTGCCTAAGCTATTTAACTTTATTTAGTAACTTGGTAACACATGAAATACTTAATTCTGCTGAACTCTACAGTTAGGATATATTTGCCATATATATTTATATCTAACTTCTGTATGATAATGGAGTCATACATCCAAGTCAATTCCATGTAAATTGACTACTTGTTTCTATGACATGGTTTGGCAACTAAATCCATTTCAAAAAAAGGAACAAGCAACCGGCCTTGTATATGAGACCATACATTATACTCACATTAACGTATAACACCATTAATTATAAAGAGAAAATAACGTCTAGTTTTTAAAATTTTATTAGTAGTGTGTAAATAAACCACTATCACATTTCGTTAGCGTTGTAAGAGGTCACTTTAAGCCTTATCCTAGTTAACTAAATTTTAAGTTTAGGACGTTATTATTTAGGCTACTGGGTCTGTTTTCAGTAGTAAAACTTTTCATGAAAAAATCAAGCTGATAAAAAGTAAATAACAATTACTTCGTGCCTACCTCATTAACTTCACTTATTTCTTGAAGCCAAAATCTACTATTCATAGTAGGAGGTACTTTTTTCATAGAAATCTTGGCTTGTTTTGGCTTAATACACGTTTCCTTAGTTTTTATACGACAAGTGACTTTAGTAGGACTGCTTATAATGTCACCAATAGGGTTAATCCAGTATTCTCCTATGAAATGATACAAGATATAACGAGAAAATTAAATTTGATTTCTTAGCTAAAAAATAAATGTTTAGAATTTAAATTAACTCTGCACATTAAGAAATGTATAAATTAAAAATTGAGTAAGATTATTCTATGGTATTCCAATACCTTATGTATTTCTAGGCTTTCGTATAATAGAATAAAAACTTGTAGTAATATTATCGAAACTATCAGTGACAAGTGAATTTCATCATATTCTGTTGAAACATTGAAAATACGTTATATATAAGAGGATGTACTCATAAGTTATTTTATTACAATTAAGGATTTATAATGAGACCAAATCGTTAATTTTTATAGATAACTGAATTAACCTTGATGATTAATTTTGTTTCTGAGTCATGAGACTACGAGTATAATACCTGAATTTATATTAAATTCCCAAAAAGACATGTCTTTTTATATTTTACAAAGCAATAAGGAATATAAATATTGTAAACGATCATGTTATGTAGGTGTATATTTGCTTGCAACAAGAGCCAAAATGTCTTCGAAAATAATATTTCTTCTGTTTAGTTGTACATATGTTAAATGATGACGTGTCAAATATAGATGTGATAAGAGAAATTAAGTGGTGTTCCTAGATACCTTCCAGGCGGAAAAATGAAACAAAAGAATAGGTGCTAATAAGCACCTACTACATTCTAGAAAAGTCAGTTGTTGAATAAGTTGAAGTTTGGTGAAAGCATCTCATAAATATTTTAATCAACAAGCCCTTTGATAAGGTACTGAAGTGAAAACGGCTTTTACTAATATTTTACCTAGCATATTCTCTATATATGATAGAATCGCATCACAGTTTTCTCCTTATATATTTTTAAACATTGGACAGTTTTCGAACATAGTGGTGACCTAGTGCTTACTATTTGTGAATTATTAAACAATATTATCAGCAGCCTTAGTAATCACTCATTTGTATTTGAAACCTTGTTTAAATGACAGATCATATGTATAATTTAAATAATAAACCAGTGTAAGCCCAAGTTGAAGGACACTGACCACTGTGATTCAATCGATTGATCTAGTGGTAATAAGATTTGAGTACCGTAGTTTTCATCCAAAGATGAATCTTATCATCGTTTAGTGTTAATAGATACCATTTTGAAAACGAAGGGATCTTCACAATACTTTATGATTTCCAGTTGTCTTTTGATTAGTACCCATTAGTAAATGTTGCTTTGAAAACATCCTTTCACTACAGGATCTGAATAATTAGTTGTAGAGATTTACTATCATGTTATAATGAAGGCTGAAAAAATGTAGCAAAAGGATTTGTCAGATGAAAAGGCTATTTTACACAAATCACGTGCAAAATAATATTTTAGTATAATTTGATACTTTTTACCAATTAAGATAAGTGGATGAAGAGTTATCCTCATCAAAGCATCTCTCATAAAAGAAACTTATCTATTGTTTACATGAACAAAATTTTATTTTACTGAAATGCACATTTATTATGAATGTTCAGAATAATTTATTAGAGCTTATACAACATAACACCATTACCACTATTTTGTTCCCTAGTAAAATTAAGATTCTTTATGGTTGTGAAAAAAGCATTTGCAAAATTATTCTTAATATTTCATTATAATATTAACCCGAAAGTTGGCCATTCAGTAATCTCAACTCACCATCAGGTTTTTTAGGATGCATATCAGCTAAATGTGCACAAGTTCGGGCAGGAAGTTCTGCAGTTCCTTGGGGAGTAGTTGTTTCAATATTTCCAAATCGCCTCTTGATTGCAGGATCATCTCCATACATTATTCCTTTAGTTCTCGAAGCTCGTGCCTGCATAGATACAATTTGACCAGGTGGGCCAGGCAAGCCAGGAGGTCCTGATTGACCTTGTGGGCCAGGTGGACCTAGTTCCCCATCTCTGCCAGGAGGGCCAAGTGGCCCAACCTCACCAGGATCTCCTCGATCACCACGTGAACCCCGAGAGCCCATTGGACCTCGTTCTCCGACTGGACCTGAAGGGCCTCTTGGTCCTTGATCTCCTGGGTACCCCACAGGACCATCCAAACCCGGAGGTCCGGGAGGTCCAGTTGGCCCCTTCCCTCCAGGAGCTCCTTTGGGACCTGGCTCCCCCTGTTTCCCTGGACGACCATCTTTCCCAGGAATACCTGACTCTCCAGTATCTCCTCTGGGTCCTGTTTCTCCTGGAGACCCCGGAGCTCCAGAAAGTCCTTGTTCCCCTTTACTTCCTGCAACTCCAACACCACCAACAGATCCACGAGGTCCACGCATACCTGCACGTCCAATAGGTCCGACTGGTCCGGGTTCTCCAGGTTTTCCAACCTCTCCAGGAGGTCCTCTGGGACCTGGAAAACCAGGGTTACCACGACGACCTGGTGGTCCAGCCCTTCCAGGTGGCCCTGCATCACCCACATCACCAACCTCGCCAAGCTCTCCATGCTTTCCAGGAGGCCCTTGTTCTCCAGGAGGGCCTTCACTACCCTCACTACCAGCAGGACCCTCCGGACCAGGCTCTCCTGGGGGCCCCATAAATCCTGGATACCCATGAGGACCGGGCTCCCCTGTTTTACCAGGCTCCCCTGCATCTCCTTGCTTCCCTCTTACTCCGGGTTGTCCGCGTTGCCCGGTCGGTCCTTTTCTTCCTATATTTCCGTTAAGCCCCGGAGGCCCTGTCAAACCAGGTTCTCCAACATCTCCTGTTGCTCCAGTTGGTCCAGGTGCACCCCTTTGACCCGTTTCACCCCGAGGGCCAGTCATCCCCATAGCTCCCTTATTCCCGGGTGGGCCTTGTGGACCCTGTTCTCCAGCTGGGCCGGGCTCTCCAAAGGGTCCTGGAGGTCCTGGAGGACCGTCATCCCCTGGACTGCCATCTGGACCGTCTTCTCCGTCGACTCCTGGTTGGCCATCAGGTCCTGGTGGTCCAGGTGGACCCGAAAGACCTCGATCTCCTGGGTCACCGGGATCACCTGTAATTCCTCTTTCTCCTGCGCTTCCTTTAGGACCTGGTTCTCCAGTGGGTCCGTATGAACCAGGATTTCCACGATCACCAGGCAAACCTGTTCCTCCTATGGTAGAAGGCTGAACTTTAACGACTCCAGGAAGCCCAGGAGGGCCTCGTAATCCAGGTTGTCCACGTAAGCCCTAAAATCGTAAGAATATAGATTATTTCAAATAGTGTTCTACAAATAGGGATGATGTATAAAAGAAGCTTCCGAGTAATTCACCTACTAGATCGACCAAAAAGTGAGTAGAATGCTTGTTAATTTTCTTAATTAAACTATTTGTACTTACCACAAGATAGGATGTTCAAGATACGTGAAATTAGTAAGTTATAAATTTGTAAATATTCTGACATTAATCTTTAACTACGATCATAAATTTTAATGAAACCCAGAAACATTTTATTATGTCCTATCTAATTATTTTAAGAAATTCGTTAAAAAGTGATATCAAAAATTCATTTATAAAATAAGGAAATAGTTTCTACATGCCTTGATAAGGAGTATAAGAAAGCCAGTTACTTAAAGCGGCTAAAACGATTACGGTATTGGATTTTCAAGTAATGCAATCGATGAACACATGTCAATATATTTTTTCTTCATGTCTCTTAAGTGGGTAATTATCTCTCCCATTACTTTCATCGTTTTATTCTTTTCTAATCTCTGGATCATTATGCACGCTTCTTTTGATATTTGAAATTTGGGACAACTACATGATGTTATCTGTTCTTATTACTTTTATTTTTTGCACATTTAAACAATTCATTGTACATTCACTCTATTTTCAAAACTCCTTACCTAATTCACATAATTTCATTCATTAAGCAACGCATGTTCGAAAATATTATCCAGATATTAACCATACTATGATTTGTCTTATGCTACATAACATGTATTTGTTCCAATTATTAGTCACGCAGTTTTATTCTACCTGTAGCATGATTCAAATAGACATTCCACACCATTCATCTCAACCTTTACTAAGCCTAACAAACTAATCTCATAATTAAATATATTTACCGATTCAGTAAACAATAACTTTCACAGCTTCACATTTTTATTTACCTACTCCGTTATGACGGTGGAGATTGTGGAGACTAGTTTGATGTAGCGAGAATTTTTATCATGTTAGATAGTGAAACATTAGAAACCAAAAGATCATTGGATAACTTTTTACTTCTAATAAAAGACATCATTGCAAAACGCTCCTATATATATGTCAGGGATCGAACAAAGAACCTTTAGGTCTTACAGCTAGAGAGTTATCATCAAACCAGCAAGCTGTAGTTTAATGATTTATAGTTTTAATTCTTGTCAATTCACAATAAAGTCCAACAGTCATTCATTCCTTGTTCAGATACTTGAATTTTCTTGTCTATTATAGTTGAATAGTGGATATGTCATACACTTTGAAAATTCCTAATTCCAAGCAAATTTTAACTTTTTTTATATATTAAACTTACCGGACGTCCATCGGTTCCAGGTAGACCGGGAAGACCAGGATCACCAACTGTACCATTTACTCCAGTTTCTCCATTTGGTCCAGGAATACCAACTAAGCCTATAACGCCCTTTATAAGGAGAGTGTAAATGAAAGAAAAATAGGAAAATCTAATAGCTTTGACGTTTATATATATAGACCGCAATTTCATCATTCATTTCTTTATCCAACTCTATCATCAATTTACATTGAAATTGCTTATTGATAGTTAACAATGGTTGCTAATGATTAAGATTGATGTAGTAACACGTATACTGGCAATTAATGATTGCCAATAACTTCACCTTATATCTATTTACATTTCACGAGAACCAGAATACTTGATACGACTCTGGGCATAATGTGAAGTTTCATATAATCACTAAGATATGAAAATTATGCATGTAGAACATCACATTCTTCCATTTGAACATATTTCACATTTACTAATAAGTATTAAAACTATGAATAAATAGTTTAGTTCACATTTGTTTTTAACACTATCTTGGATAATTTTAATTTTGATTATTTTTTTAAAAAGTATGTTGAACAAAACTAAGGGTTAAGGTAACCGTTACTCATATGTTTGATTAATTTAATTAACTAATTTTAATTTTTTAAAGCATTGGTCTGTTTTGAGATTTCTGCATTTAAAATGTATCAAAAAGCTGAGAATATATTGGTGATAAATTACATACGAGACAAGTTAAATTAAAGTTTCTTTCCAGTATTATAAAATCTAATCATTAGAGTTGTGATGATAATTATCTCATTTATCACTTAGGATTCGTATTAACGTTATCAATCTCTAACTGAAAATGTATACATTCATAACACAATATACCATCATAAATACTAATAAAATTGTTAGTATCCATTTTTGGAATGGAACTTTGAATAAAACAATGGCAAAAATGTTGTGAGCAGTATTCTGATAAAAACTTACATAAACTCCTGGAGGTCCCATTACTCCCTCTTGACCTTTATATCCTCTCTTTCCTTGTGGTCCAGGTGGTCCACGATCTCCTCTACGACCTGGCTTTCCGACTGCTCCTTGTTCACCTGGTACACCTTGTGGCCCAGGTTTTCCATCTTTGCCAGACAACCCATCTTTTCCATCCATTCCCGGTGGACCGTCATATCCTGCGGGACCAGGTGGACCAGATGCACCTTCTGGACCTTCAGGACCTTGATCACCAACGGGACCTGGAAGTCCTGGAGGTCCAACAGCACCCACAGGACCTTCCGGACCTGTGTCACCATCAGGTCCAGGATCGCCTACATCTCCACTGTCTCCATGACCACCAGGTAGTCCAGTTGCACCTTTCATTCCTTGTTCTCCAGCAGGTCCTATCGCGCCCTGTTTGTATAAATAATGTTTTGTGAGTGAGACAAATATATTCTGTGATTTTAAACCATTAAACAATGAACAGTCTTTAGATGCTATATTTATCTGTCAGCATGCCATTAACAAGGATATTTTATTTCAGTTTTTAACAGGATGTTATAAAATGTAATAAAATGGCATGAGAATTTCGGACATAAAGTACGACTTAGATGTTTCATAGAATCGTATGTCTAATATATTAATGTAAAGATCAATTTTTAATAAGGACAAAACATAAATATTTGAATGTTTAGTTAATTTTTAGGGATTATTTTACTACTGACGCTTATGGCTCGGAGTTATAAAATAAAGTTTATTGTTATACGTATGCCCCTTAAACTTTGAGGGTAAATTGCTATAGTCCAGACTTTAAAGTTATGTTTAAAATCAGATAATTTTGTGTCATCCAGTTTATAACATAATGCAATTATGCGTCGGTGGAATGATTTCTGAAAATCTTTGTTGACAACGTTTTGGAAGTTGGATTGCTTTATTAAATAGCACTGTTGAATAATATCACAATTCATCTAGGTTAAATTTCCCCGAAAAAGTATCATCTGTTCTTTCTCTTTTTAGGAGTTTGGAAAGAAACTGAAGGTAACATAACGTTCTTGTTTATTAAAAGCTAATTCATATGTGTTCATAGTGATGGATCTTTTCTAATTCCATGTCATATTTTTAGCAATTGCTTTACCCTTTTCGACTTACCGTCGGTCCTCTTGGGCCAACTGGTCCCATAGGTCCCATTGGTCCTGCGTGTCCAGGTGTTCCACTTGCTCCCGGCAGACCTACTGGCCCAATCGGTCCTGATCCCCCCTTAATTCCAGGTACTCCATTCATCCCATGTGCACCATTTTCACCTCTAGCACCAGGAGCTCCATCAAGACCAGGACGTCCAGGTGGTCCTGGAGGACCTGAAAGTCCTTGCTCACCCGGTGCTCCAGGTTCTCCAGGACTACCACTGAGTCCAGGTTGTCCATCTAATCCTGGACTTCCAGGGCTTCCAGCCATGCCAAGTTCTCCTTGTGCACCCTTGGGAATAGAGAAAACAGATTATATTATTAATTAAATTTTTCTATAAAATAACCAGTAATATCACTTGAGTTTATCGAATTCTAAAAAGGAAAGTATTTAGTTTCACAAAACAAAATCTCTATATCTGATAAGCTTGTATTTATAGTTGGTATTGAATTATCAAATCAGAACATCTATCAAAAGATGTTGATCAAATCTAGTCATGGATATTGACAAAAAGTCAATATAAATCTTTTCAAAATTAGCAAAGTTTTAACTTTTAAATGATAGAAACTGGATATAATCCTATTTTGTTTGCATAAAGTAATAAGTGTTATATATGTACCTAGCAGTACAATCCCGAATTCAATTCAATGCATTCAAGTGTATATGCTGTGCTTTCTATCTTCACTCTTGATCCACTAGTGATAATTGGGGTAAGTACTGGTCGGATTTGGATAGTCATTAGTTCGCATATTATATTTAATAATGGTACTACCATTTCAAAACATTTTAAATCCATAATAAAGTGAATTGTATGAATTGCTTTGTCATTAGAAAATGTAGTAATTAAAGACACGGAAATTATACTGAATACTACAAAGATGGATTATTTCATAAATAACTGTATAGCTGTTACCTGTTCGGCTATACTTAAAAAATGGATATAGTTAGAAGACAAGGCAAATTATAACTACGACTTTGCTTGTCTGAAAGTCTTAATGTAGTTATTACAGTTTTTCTAAATAGTGTTCAATTGTTTGAAATAATGTTTCTTATGCAATTAATAGATAATCGAATGTATGTCTTGATCAACTGATTATTTCGATTAATCTGTGATCATATCTAAAAATACAACAACAACAACAACTTGATAAATCCTTTCTACTGAACATCTAATATAATTTTTGTTTAATGACTTCTGTTCGATAAATAATATCACCACCAATGTTAGTACCCAAAAGTAGAATAATACATTTTTGAACTAAGTGATTTACTGAGGCCAAAAAACAAATAATATTCCAGTTAGTCCATTAGTTGTTAAAAAAACTGCTTTCTATGTATTTGTCAGTTAAGTGGTACAATCTTTTTTACTACGACATAATTTAAGGACAGATAAATACAAGAAAATAATATAAATCTATAAGTGAAAAATAGACGAATGTCCATTAGTTAGGATTATCATATCTGTTATTTTAGGAATAGATTTCTCTTTATTTTTGTTGAAAATGCCAAATAATTGATTATCTTAAAAAAAGGGAAGGAACCATTTGGATTGTTTCCTATAGGTTAATAATTCTACTATTTTATTCAATTTACATATTCTTTGGAATTTTGAAAATGAATAAATTTAATTGATTTAAACAAAACTACAATTATTTGGCAATAATTACTGAAATATAATAAAATGGAATGAATGTTTATATCAATAATGAATATGATGTTTTATTGATGGGATGTGACTTTTTCATTCAAATAATTGAATCTGTTTGTTTTATCATCATTTCAGTATTTAATTAGTAAAACTAGTTCAAAGTGAAAAAGAAGTGAGAGATATTTTCTGAAATTCAATTTTATTACTGATGAAAAGATGACAGTATTTAAGTTTACAGATCATGAGCATTGTAATGGATTATTAGTCTTATGAATACATAACTTTGATTACTCAAAAAACGAAATAATCTTCAAATAAATTAAGGTTATTTGTTGGTAATTCAGTGTAGAAGTTACATAACCAAATGATAGTGCATTAGTTAGGTCCCGATAAGCATAATGAACGGTAACTTTTGGGATCCATTTATGGGCTAATACTAACGTATATGTTTACCGTATAATTGTTGAATAACTAAACTATTTATATTCATATTCCTCTTATTATAAGCTTTATTTTGACCTATGGACCATTATTATACGTTTTACCATTCTTGAATTATGCCCTGCCGATTGGTCACCGCCTCCCACATTCACAGCCACATTTGGCCAGATTTTGTACAAATGTTATTTTCTATTTTATGGTACGCTGAGGTCTGTTTGATTGGCATATAAACTGAGTATATTTGAAATACATGATTCATATTGCAGAGGTTGAAATTGGAGTTCTGGACTCAACTGGATGGGCTAGGCGGAAAACAGGACCAATCAGAATTCTAGGCTGCTCATACGGGGTTTACAAGTCATTGATTCAATCGATAAGTCACTGCTCCCTAATTGGCGGTTTCGTTATGTTATACATTAAAAGGGCACACAGACCACAAGTTATAACAACATTACATACCGCTAATTTTTTAAAAGGTATGAATTTATAAATTTGGGTACTATGTCTTATTTATTGTTTCAGGCTTTTCCATTTGAATATAAGAACTAAATCGTTGATACTTTAACTATCAATTTGATTTATTTAGGGTTAATTCTTCATTCATTATTTGGGGATAGTTTTCACTGCAAATTAATATCAGCTAGTCAATTATTGAAACCCAGATATTAATAAAAAGGTGTATTATCCTGATATGAAACTCATCAACAGTATATACTCTAAACCTTAAATTTTTATGGCTAACACAGTTCTTTAAAAAAATGTCGAAACTCAAGTAAATTTTTAACTTTAGTTAATTTTTAATATAGAGTTTCACTGATAGGTAACAGGCTAAATCTCATTTATTTGATTTGAATTATTTACAATATCTTAATAAGAATTTAGTCCACATACAACAGCTAGTGAAAAAAATCAGGACCAATAAAGTTGTACGACTTCTCTTACTTTTTTTTGGTTTATGCTATTACCGGAAAAAAAACTTAATGATATGATGATTATCACTGTCTATTGTAGTAAGCCCATTTAACTACTGTAGTTTAGACACGACCCACCATGTATTGTTCTGTGTGAGTCTGATTGGGAACATGTCTGCACATCAATCTTTAATCTATTCTCCCATTAGTTATAATACACAGACAATCAATAATTTATTAATACTTGATTAACACTCAAAAATACATATGGATTTTTAACACACACTCTTGGTTTCCCTGTGTGCTTGCTTCCTGTAAGCTTGCGGATTTTACCAATCTTTAACAAGAAACTATCTCTGTAACTAGTGTTCAGGCTTTTCAATAATCTCGAGTAAATCTATAATTCTAACTAGGAGATTTAGTCTGCATTAAATACTCAGTTAACAGGATACAATTTATTGAAGTCAGATATAGGGAAAATTAGTCTACACTATAACAAAACAAAGAATTTCCGTTGTAATCAACAGTTAGTAGGACGTGAAACTGGGATATTAAGAATAAAGCCAAATCATGTCATAAGTACTTTTAACAAATACCGTTAATACTGAGAAATATTCACATTAAATGTGTGAAATTGTGTTTTATTGATTATATAAAAATATATTTCGAGCTTTAATGGATATCGGAAAATTTTGTTAAAAAGAAAAGCTCGGTAATTTTTTAAAAATAATGAATAAATTCATATGAATATTAATTGTGAATACTTTTTTATTCCCAATGTTATTACATTTCTTCCTAAGTGTTTCAATCAAATAAATGACGTTTTATAATGCTGAATATTTTGGATTAATAGATGGATTCATGAATCAGTTGAAGCTAGACCATCATAGAAAACCTGGAGGCAGTGAACGACAATTACGTTCCAGTATGGGACTCCTCAACAGTGAGCATCCACCATCACTCCTAGCAAGATTTGAACCCAGGACCTGTCGGTCTCGTGCGCCACCATTGTCTTCAGTGAGTTACTATCTCACAACAGACCCGGTTGAACTCAACTGGTCACAGCGAGGGAGGATCGTGGATGCTCATTTCTGACGAGTCCCATAATGGGACGAGGTTTCCGTCCAGTGCTTCCATGTTTTCCATGGTGGTCTAGCTTTAATTAACTCATGAATTCAACTATTAAATTACTATAATATCAACAAAACCCCTCTCTGATTATATTTTGAATTGCATGGTAATTATCTGTTGAAGAATTAAAAATACTTTTTAATCAATAGTACTTAATTACAAATAGATCATTTACTTTTATTTATTGTTACTAAATATTCCTAAGTAACCAGTCCAAAAATAATGTATCTGCTATGTCAAAGAAGCATCTATTATTTTCATGTTTTCATGAGGATGTCATTTACCGATTGGAAGTAACCGCAAACTAAAATCTTATTATGAAAGCTTATAATCAATTGTTATGAAGTTCTAAACATAATTTTCATGTTAATAAAGTAATCAGTAAAGACTGTTTGTGATTTTAAAGAGTATCAAAAAATACATTTGTAGTGAACGAGAACATAATTGGAGATAATTAATGTATTTGAATACAAAATTACAGAATCTCTTAGTAAAATCTGAAAACCGTACAGTCAATACTTCATTTGCAAAATATCAGTCAGTCGTCTCAGACTTCATTGTTCCTTCATTTCCACACCAATCATTCTCTGTTCTCATTCTCTTTTCTTTGATCTTCTTAACCTTTATGCATTTCACTTTCGATTGATGATATATACTAATTATATCTATCGATATCAGTAACACACACCACACTTTATTTAGATCAGTAAAATTGTGACGTTTAATATATAAACAAATATGAATTCTAGATAAGGTCTTCAAGATTGTTATCCCACATACAGTTAAATACAATTTACTGTGTAGACTCACTACTGGTTTTAGTGAGTGGATTTAGAAAATTGGTTACTAAGTTTTTTATTAACTCTAAGAAATGAAAGTTACTGCATCTCTACTGGAAGGAGTACATTTAAGTTTCTTGTAATCCCGCTTAGATCACAAAATAATAAAGTATTCTATACAATTCTGACTAGTCTGTGAAACAAGATCCGTTAAAAAGGTTTATCATTTAGTAGACTAGTTGTAATTATGAATATAAAAACATTTGGTAGTTTTCTAACACAATGAATGTCAATTTAGTGCAGTTTTACTTCGGTATATTCACTCCGATTCTGTGGATTTATTTATTCGTAGTAATTATCATAACAACAACAACAACAACAACCGTATCAGGACTACTAGTATATTTGTTGATCCAGAGTATTAACAGACCGTTTGACTTGTCTTAACACAAACTGCGTATTTATTCTTGACTATTTTTAGTTGTAGTTTACAGCCTAGGAGACTCATGAACTGGTATTTTAAAAAATATTTTGTTTTTACTCACTGTTCTTTGCGTTACAAACATTTTCATTCGATAACAATATTGGAGGGCACAAAATATACATCAAACAATTTTGATTACACAGAAATGAGACAAAAGTGTTGATATTTAACAAGTGTAACTTAGTTTTCTAGAGTTAGAGAATTTTTCCATCTGTAATGAATTCTTATTAATTAAATTTATTGAGAATAATTTTTGATTTGCTTGACTCTGCTAATTAAGGTTATTTGTCTAAAAGTAAGCTTGATATATGATCTACTAACAGTCTTCTGAAAATAGCTTCACATTTGCTATCTGGCGCTGGGTTATATCATGAAACCTTAAGTCAGTGAAACTTCATCTCAAATATGGTGTTGTCATTACCTTGATTCCTATGGGGCCCATAGGTCCCCGCTCACCACGTGGACCAGTTTCTCCACGTTCACCTGGACGTCCAAGTTGACCTTTCTCACCTTTTAGACCCTGGACTCCTGTCGGCCCTTCTACTCCAACTGAACCTGGTTCACCTTGTGCCCCTTTTGGACCCTGAAGTCCTGAGCGTCCCATTGTTCCTCTCTCCCCTGGTCTTCCTGCTACACCCATGGATCCTTCTGGTCCTCTTTGACCTGGTTCACCTCGAACACCTGGACGTCCGTCATGACCGATTTCACCCTGGTAAAGAAAGATTAAGGCTGTTTAATTATTTCAGTAGTAAACTTTTACCATACTTTAAGTGAATTTTAGATAATTTCGCCATATAATTTATACTATTTTCGTTACAATGTACAATATTTTCATATATATTAAAACACAATTGTATGAAAGAACATTCTTTTCAATGATTTCTCATCAGGTTCTCCAATTATAAATCCAAATTAATAATCCATAAAATTGGCCAGATTTAAGGCAGAGTACATCATTTGGAAATTGTAATATGTAAATTAAGAATTGTTGTTTGTTATATGAAATCAAATCAGATCGTTAATGTTGAGGCTGATTAATATAAAGTGTTAACTTGAATTAGCTTATAAGCGAAACGAAATTGTGCGATAAATGATCAGAATAAATATGGTCAACATGGGGTGAGAGAGAAAATAATGGGATAAAAATTGGAAATTACATAATATGTAGAATAATATGAATTAGGTCAGACATAGTAGATTTAGGGGTGGATATTGAGTAAATTCCTCAAAAAGGTTACCAAGTGTAATGATAATAATATTATAAATAGTAATAATAATAATCACAGTAGTAAAGATAATAATAACAATAATAAGTTTGGGACATGAAATGAAGATTAATCAAATTACGTCATCATATTATAAAATTGATTATTAAGTAGTTGGCTCCAAAGTTGGCCAGGGTAAAAGGAGTGGCTGAGCATACTTCTTTTGGATTCAAAGCTCTGGCTTTTTGATCCGAATAGCAATTGCTTCAGCCGTCTGTAGGATTCGCAGTCTGACGGAATTAGGTAGACTGCTGGTAACACGATAGATCATTGCAAAAGATTGCTCCATTTTGACTGTATGTCCTGTCTGAACTAGATGGTTTAAGATGGAGCTGTTAACAGTCTTGATTACACCTTTGCTTAAACACACGGGGAGGTGCTTACGAGCTTGAATGTACAAATTCCTAGAATATCTGCCAATATAACTTGCTCCACATGAGCAGTTGAATTGATAGATACAGAAAGAGGTGGCTAGTCTAGGTAATATATCTTTCAACCTCGGAGTAGTTATTGGTTGTGTGGAGAACATTAGTTGTAGTTTACCCGCATTAAAAATCATTTGAATTGATCTGCTGAAGTCTTAGCATTTCACTCGATGCATCGCCTCTTAATTATATGCGTATATACAGAGGTTTTTTATTTACAGTTGGGCATTCTCTACGCTGTCTTTACCTATAAATTTCTCGGGTTATCCATTTTCCTTCAGGGTTATGTATAATGCCTTTGTTCAATCTTCAATCGTATCCACAGAGCATATAGTATTGATTCTATGATGCAGTGTCTTGATAAGATTCCTTTTGTATTGTAGAGGAGCAAAACTAGGAAAGTTTGTATATTGACCCGTCAAGGTAATTTTCCTGTTTATGTTTTTTTTAGCAACCCGTCCTTCCTCCTTGTAAGTAGAACATCTAGAAAGGCTATTCTACCCCCATTTTCCTTCTACCATGTGAATTTTATGGATGGGTGAACTGTGTTGAAACCCTCGAGTGATTATAGGACGTCCATCTGGTTGTTGCAAAGGATAAATGTATCATCCATATATCGGCAGTAAAAAGAAAAATTATCGATCTCTTGTTCTAGTGGGCCGTTTTCTGGTTTATATATATATATATATATATATATATATATATATATATATATATATATATATATATATATATATATATATATATAATGCTAATAATCTAAAATATTTTAAATAGCACATTAAAATAATGCCAAGTATAATTTGATCAATCATAACTTGTTTACCTGAATCCCACGTTCTTTGCTCAATCCTGGATGTCCTGGTGTTCCTGTAGGACCCTTCTCACCCTTTTCTCCTTTTGCTCCGGTCAAACCGCGATCCCCTTTTTGTCCAGCAGGTCCTGACGCCCCAGGTCTTCCAGGGTTACCTATTGGACCTTGCGGTCCCATCACTCCAGCCCTTCCAGTGGGACCAGATTCACCTCTTGGACCAGAGGGCCCAGGTGGACCCATGGGGCCTGGGGGGCCAACAGGTCCCGTTGGTCCTTGAGGTCCTTGTGGTCCCATGGGTCCTTGAGAACCCTAGATGGATAAGAGACAGAACAGTAGGAATTAGTCAGCTATGAAGAATCAAATGATTTTCATTCTGAGAATGCTCATTATACAGTTTAGTATAAAGATATTTCAGTTTTCTCCGCTCAAAAATAATGCCAAAATAATTAGAGATAGTCTAAATTTTAATGGGTGACAATATATATGTCACACAGAGACGCAATCTTTTCTACCGGGAAGTTCTATGTTCACTAAGTTAACAAAGCTTTCTGTTTAATAAAATTTAGGAAAATGGTGACCAAGCGCTTTCTACTGTGTTCCGTCGTGTTGTGAATTTTTAATTATTTCAATTGCTTTGATTCAATCAGTTAGGTAATATTATCAGCCCCTCTTCCAAAAAATGAAAATGTCTATAGTAGATGGATCATATTTGTATATTAATCAAGTTGAATATAATTTAAACTTACATGTATGGTTTATTATTTAGTAATATTACTTTGTTGGTTCAAAAGGGACAACTTCGTTTTCACATACGAATCAACATAATTTACGTATAATTCGTAGATTCTACAGCTAAATTACCTATTCTTTTTTCCTGTCTCATAATGGTAAAAATCACTATAAATTTTCACAATTAATCTCTGTTTAATTATGTCTGTTAGTACAGCACTGATTGTAGAACATTGCATGCATATGAATACATTCAGTATGTCTTGTTTGAATACCTGTATTATTAATTAAACTTCCCTATTATTCATTCAAACCAAGAATACTTAATAGAGTTATGGTTTAATAAACATTCAGAAAGATGCACACATCAGTGTCCGTAAAGTCAAAATATATATCACTATTATAATAAGACTCACTTTATGTCCATCGAAGCCAGTATCACCTTTGTCTCCTGTTTGACCTTGATAACCTTGTGGTCCGGGACTTCCCTCACCCCCGGGTTCTCCTGGTGGTCCAACAATCCCTTGAGGTCCAGGTGAGCCCTGAACTCCTGGGACTCCAGGTCTCCCATCGCGTCCCGGTGTCCCAGGCGTCCCAGCAGGTCCTGCTTGCCCACGTTCACCATCTATTCCAGGGGGGCCAGGTGGACCACGAGGACCTGGTGCTCCGATTCCACCTTCTGGACCAGGTGGCCCTGGATCACCTCTCGGTCCGGGAGGTCCAAGTGCTTCATTTGGAGATGATATCTGAGCTAGAATTAAATACGAAATTAATAAAATAAATCAATAAGATAATTGAAATCAACTGCTTGTTCATTATAGAATATTTTGTTTTGTAAGAATAAGCTAACCGAAGTGGTCGACTTTGTAATCTAAATATTCCAGAATAAAAATAGCTGTGTTTAGTTAGGGAAAAATAGCAATTTAATTACGTCTATTACATTCTATAAACTAGTCCTCTACAAATTTTTTTAAAATTAATGGTACGAAACTGTTATTCTATCTAAAGGCTGGTGTTCATATTTATGGATTTTATTAATATCTACATCAATATGATCCACCAATATTTTTAATGTAGTGGGTTAATATACATATCAACAACAGAACACAATGTTTCCATTTTCCTTAAAAAAATGGTTTGTTTGATGAAGTAATGTATGATTAATATCATACTTAATTAATAGTTATTATTTTCTATATCCATTGATCGTTTGTTTTTCTTCATACCTTTTTGGAATATATGCTTCACTGTCCAATTATCTGAACACTTCCTGTTAAGTAGTTTTAATGAATGATGTTATTTCAATGTTGATACTTCCGAGTCTTTAACCCACTTCCTGTTATGAAATATCGGTTCAACCCTTTATTATTATTATCACGAATGGTATGCCTGTCATTACATAATCAGTTTGTGTTTTTTCATTATTACGCCTAGGTTACGTAATCCGCCTGAGGTCCCTTTCGGGGGGCTACTACCGGTCCCAAGCCCGGATAAAGGAGGAGGGTTTGGCATGGGGTTAGCGACCCCATCCCGTAGAAAACTAACTCGCTAAAAAACGCTAACCAGAAAAAATTATTCAAACCATTTAAACTCTGCCCTGCGAGTCAGGAGGTCTTCGTTTAGAAGAATTATGAGTTTCTTCGGAAGTCACGAGGCTGATATCCCTTCTGAAAACCAGAGAAACCATTTACTTAGGTACATGGAATGCTCGTACAATGTGGGAGACTGGGAGAGTTTTCCAAATCGCTGCTGCAGGTTACGCAATCCACTTCGTTGACTTATGAACTCTCTTGATTTGTTTAATATTTTCATACATGCGTTTAAATGTTGTTGTATATTAGAGTAAAACCTGATGAACAAGATTGTTCGTTTACATGTTATTCAAGTTTGCGACACGGGACCATTTAATGTTTTGAAATCATTATTTCATTTATGGTACTCAATGAGTAATTGAATTTGAACGGTCTTCTCATAGAAACAAAGATATTCCCATTGTCTTGATTATTAGTTTATTGATCGATTTCTAATCATAATCGTTTAATTAGAATCATCCAAATACAAAATCAAGTATGAATTTTTAAAAATTCATGTTTAAGAATAAAATCAAACTTTTCTAACAATGATTAATGAACAACAATGAAGACAGTTTTAATACTCAAAATACGCGGTTCCTATTTATTATATGTAATAAAAGTTTGTATGCTATGGATATTATAAATTAATTTCGGTTAAATTTACTAAATGTTATATAATAATGTTATACTCAAAATCATTCACTTAATCTTTATATCACTTATAGATTATACGTTATGATGAGTTGTAAGTAATTACCTTAAAAAGAATAACTAATCAGTGATAACTATTAAATGATAGAATTGAATTATGCGGATTAGGATATTTTGAGTGAAGTAATCATTTTAGTTTAGCAGGATAGTTGTCATGGAGTTATGTTCGAACTAATATCTGTAATTTGCTCTGACAATGTTATGTAGAAGGACGAAAAAACCTTTATGAGCAAACTATCCAGCTTAGAGAGCTGGACTACACCAGAGATGTCTATCACATTCATCCATTCTCCCTATATTATAAACTGAAGTCGTTCAAATTAGTAAAGTTTTAATCATACTAAGAACTCCCACTACGACTATTAAATCATTAGTTTTAATCATGCTAGAGTAGAAACCTAAGTTCAATCATTTAAATAAAACTAACTTTTCTATGCATCATTTCATTTCTTATAATGAATGAATTGATGAATCGATGTTATTATTCATATTGTTTCGTTGTACTATTTAAACTTGGATTAATTTTAATTTCATTATTTATCTTCTGAAGAAGTGGCTTACACTAAGTCATGAAACGTCAGAAAATCGAATTTTTCTATTTATTGGGATATTACAAATATATTATTCATTTAGAATTAATGAATAGTTCTGTTTGCTTTATTTAGTTGGTTTCATGTCCTTCATTGATTCTCATGGTTTGTGTAAATATTTCTTGTGCGCGAAATTGCACCAGAAACAAATGAAAATAATCAATAATCTTAAAGTAACTTTTCGTGACATTTTTAAAAAAGCATCTATGAACCTTTTAAATCTTGAAATTTCGATTACTTAGTACAATGAAGGAATTATATGACTAATTAGTGTTTTATTATTGAAACGACTGGTAGAGATTAATTAAATTTGAGGATGGTTTTCAACACAAACTGAAAGAATTTTGGTAAATATTAAAAATCTAGTAGGATTAGCTAGTGGTAACACTCTACTGTATGTAACTGAAAGTGATCACTATTCCAGCTCAATTTTTAGCAAAAAAACACGATTAGCCAATAGAAATTAGAGTTCATAGATAAGCACTATCGAGGAGCACCAAAATAGAAAAAAACTACTCTTTATGATCTTAAGTTTTTATCAACTCTTCATCAAGTATCAATAGATGATTGAAAGTACCTTTAAATTCCAAACTAAATACAAATGCAAAACTTATGGAAAACATATTTTAAAGGTTTATCCATAAAAGTTTATTGATGGAAAATAGATAATTTTGATTTTTGCATGTTTTTTATTTATTGATTATGATTAAATGAAAATAGATAGTTACTAGTTGGAAAACTAATCAATTTTACATGTCTGAACTAAAATTATTCCCAGTTTCATGATATTACTAGATTTAATCACATTTAAATTTCGATTATTGATAATATGAAATTATTTATTAAAATAAACACATTAATGGAATTAACATTGAACATAAACACTGTAACATATTTATATGCAATATTTAAAATGATATTTACCAAAGAAGGTAATTTACTGATTGATTCTTTTAATAATTTTATTCACTAATTAACAACTTATTATCTTTAATGAAAGTGAGAGAATTTCTTAACTACAATAGACGTTTTAGGTATCATCATCAAGGTTTGTCTTGATAATTTCAAATAAGTTGAACATTGAGTAGATTGTGATAAATCAATCAATAAATATCTTTGTAATATCCCAATAAGTAGAAAAATTAAATTTTCTGACGTTTCGTGACTCAGCGTAAGGTACTTCTTCAGAGAATAAATATTTATTCTCTGAAGAAGTGACTTACACTTGATTTTCTTTATCATTTTAACAGTATTTTTATAGATTACAATTTCCATTCACATTTACAATTCAGTATATTTCAAAAATTTAATTACAAAGAGAAGAAAAATCCATAAAAATACCATATCACAAAAACATTATTTTTAAAAAATTTTTTTATTTCAAAATATATCATTTATTACTTACCAGTCACACAATTCAAAACCAATATTAATGTAATAGTTGAATAAAATGTAATAAAATGTTTTTGTTTCGTCATGTTTATCATGAACTTGGAAGGTAAAGATTATAATTATAATTAACTACAGAATATAATGTATTTAGATATTCATTTAATCTTTAATTTGTTTAAATATTATGCATGATTCAGTTGTAATTTTGTTACAATATAAGTTTATATCCTTTTGGTGTGGAAATCTTTAACTAGATGAAAGAATATAGTCAAGAATGTAGATATATATTTTCTGTATCTTTGTATTTACATTCACGTATGTGTTTATTATGTGTGTAATATACAGAATACATATATGTGTACAGATGTGTGCATACAAGTACGTTTGTATAAAAGCATGTACAATATTTAGACTAATCGCAGAAAGTCACATCTGGACATTGATTCATTCACTACATTTTTATTTATAAAGATAAAAAAACAATATTAGGGGTAAGAAAATATGGATAAACGATTCTGACATTTACTTCTAACTGGTTCAGTCGAAAAACTATATGGATAATATTTTATTATAAATAAATGTAATACACTTAAAGAAAAAAAGTAATCTCTTTTGTAAATTGCATCTTAAGAACAACTGTACATTGGAAATATCTTTACATTAAAAGTTAAGTGGATATATTTGCATAGATTTTAATCATAATTTCAAATTATAGAAAATACCAATTATATAACTGCCGAATTTGACAAAGACCTAAAGTTATTATGAGAATGCCTTATGCCAAAATATTCCACTGCATTAACAAATCGATGTTTGTTGTTAGCCATGTTATAAATGTAAAACATCAAGTTATTTGCAACCCAAATGGTGAAATAAAACGAAGTAAAATAACTGAAAGCCAGACAAGACATTTATTTAGTCACTATTGGGAATGATAAAAGTTTTGCTATCGATAAAAAGCTATCCTAAAAATATCAGTTGTTTTTGTTTAAAATGGTATTATCTAATTTAACTACCGTAACAATAGGTATATAGTTTATAATTGAAATAAGATCATTGAAATGTATGATGGTAAAATATCATGCGACGTTGAACTGGAAGGTACTCAAAATTTCAATTAATACATTTGACAATCATGAAGTGAATAAAATCTAGTTTATTCAAACGTTCTTAATTTTAAAGGTGATTCTTAGTTGTAGAAAGCTTGTGTTCTTAGTATATCCACATCAAATGATTTGTAAGAAGGATAGTAATAGGTTCATTGATATTTGATCTTGGTCAAATGTTAGAGCATAAAGTATTTGTAACACCCCTATATTAGTTGATGAACGAGGAAAAATCGATAATCATAAGGTTTCTGTTTATTTCCAATGTGACCGTACTAGCAATTTTTATTTCTTCTTTACTGATTTAAAATAAAAGCCATTCAAGTATTTTTAATAAGTAAATTAACGTGTAGATGGTGTATGGAAAAAAGGAATTCCAGTTTTTTATGGATTGGAATAGTGAGTGTTGTTGTTAAAATATATTTAGGCATAATTTGCTAACGAATACCATTTCTCTGAACTGGCCTACCTTTTAGATGAGGTTTTTCTAAAAACGATGTTTGTAAATGTTAAAAAGGAACAATTAAACAAATACATTTTTGTTTACATTAGTTTCATATTAGGATATTGGAAACTTTGTTTCTACATTTTTACCTATTCATATGTAGTACTGTCCACTTAAGTTTATTGAAATATGGATGTTCATTAATGTAATAAAAAAAATCATTACTGTTAGATAAAGTCTTGACTCATTTTTTGGTATATAATAAGTATTTCTTTGTAGTCTTTGATATTTTCCTGGTATTGATTTATATCAGTTTCTAGTTCACTTATAACAGCGAGTCTTAGAGTGTTAGGGTTGAAAAGAGAGCTATCACAGGTTCACGTAGTTTGCGAACGAGATTGAGATTCGGTGACCAACGACCAGTGAGCTAACTAATGACGCGTCGCAGCCCCAGCTATCTAGAGGGAGAAGTCCAGGCTTGAAATGAGAACTATATTCTGCAACAACCAGAAACGGGCGATTCAACCAAAACAATTTAAAACGTATATATGCAATATATATAATCGATATTGTCATTTACATTTTTAAACATTCATCAATAAGTTCGTCAATTGAATGCTATTCAAATATTTAAACATTTAATCGATAAGTTAATCGATAAAATTACAAATGTGAGTTTTTGGGGGATTTATCGTCCCCAACATAGAGATAATCAATAAGTACTAGGAAATAGTTCGTTCAAGTGCCAAAATGTTTTGAGAGTATTTCTTTTTGTTGGTACTAGGGTAATATTCAAAATGAGTGAGATATTAAGAAATCAATTTCATGTAATCTAGTTAAGTCATTTAGTAATCATAGCTTAGGCAGGTAAGATAAGAGCAACATGTTCTAAACCGGAAAAGAGTACAAAATTTATTTTAAAACTTCATACTCCTCTTCACTCAGCTGTACCCTTCTCTCAACAATCATAATCATTTTAACCGGCCAATGAAATACTTGTTATTGGACTTATAAAAGTAAAGAATTTGGTTCGGCAAATTCAGTTCTAGTCGGCGTTGTTGACAGCCAAGTGAAGCTGATATGATTTTTAGAGAGATGTATATTGGTATAGAACGTGAAATCCATTTTTCATATGTTCATCTGAAAATATGGAGAAAATCCCTCCATGTCTGTTTTTAACCATGACTCTGTATTTCTGTAGTATGTACTGTTTCTTTTATTTTTGTCTAAATTTTATATATTAATTCCCATTTGTGAGTTTGACCGCGGTTATTATTAATATATTGTCTACAAATTCTGAATCCCTACTATTTCCTCGATGTTAATGAGTCTTTTAATAACCGTTTTATTTTTATTTTACGTAACATTGTTTTTGATGACGCTATATTGGACTGTCATATTTTCGATGATACTTCGTGAACAGATTGTCTCTATTGTCTCTCTTATCGATTTTAGCTACATTTCCTATTACTTACTTTTGATTTCCCATATTTGAAGCAAACTTAATTGACCTACATCTCTTCCTTGGATAAGATATTTTTCTTTGACTGGTAGGTATATTTTTCTCATTGTGACAATCGGGTTTTATCAGATATCTGTAACAGTTGGATAGAGTACCATTTAGTACCTCTCTTGGGTGTCTTCTGACTTATTTTGAACGTGTGTTACGTTATTTAAAAGGAAGTTATTGGATATCGCCATCTTCTGAATGATTGAACATGGGAGTGCATGACTGAAGTTTCACTACTGGGACAGACATTGAACCAGTTCAATGTCTAGATCTAACATAGGTTTCTCGACGAAACCGGATCTCCTGAGATAACAGAAAGATGGTGAAAATGTTACTTTTTACCGTTTCATGATACGAGACAGTCATCGAAATTCAAATGATCACAATATAATATATGTATTCAAAAAAAGGCATCACCCTCAGCGACCAACAAGTTCTCAATGGATACGAAGGTTTGTTTATAGGGGTCGTGAATCGTTTATTACTTGTTGGAATCATATAAAGGTTTTATACAATATGTAAATGGTCAAACAGTCAAACGCGAGTTACTAAGCATCAACTATGAGAAAGATACTAGCTTTCGTCATTCGATAGCCAGCTGAAAACATACGACTCGTCATTCATGTTAAGTCGGCTTTCCGAGAACTGCAACAGAGCATCCGGAGGCCCTGTAGGAGCCAAAGAGTCTTAGCCAATCAGAGCACGATGGAGCTTTCTAGAATGCCAACGTGGCGTGCTACTATTGGTCAGTAGCATAATAGGTCTTTTAGCGGATTGGCCAAAATATGATGTTGATTCAACAAATGTTAACATCTATAAATACCCATGTTTTTCTGTACAAAAATGGAACCTTGAAGTAAAGTACTTTTCGCATACTTTGCGCCTTCTCTCTCGAGTTCAGGTCGCTGTATAGTTCTAGCTTGGGGGTCTTCGAGAATAGCTTAGGAATCGAGTATAGCGTTAAAAATCTCAAGACTTATCAATTTATTTGTGTCCAGAGCTGCAGCTTTTGCTTTCAGAGATTTTGCTGATGAAAATTACGGAAAAAATGATCATCCAAGATATTTTTGATATGTTGTAGTGTCTGTTATTATGTTAAGCTCAAATACCTTATTCTAACTTTCGGACAGCCCATTCCATTCATTCTACTTGAGTCACATTCTAACCTTGTTAATTTTTCGCTTATCAATATCTTGACTGCTTTTATATGAGCGCGTAGGCGTGTGTTCACTTCTTATCCTATTCATCACATATCTGTAACTTATTTTTTGTCCTTATAAATATTGATTAACGGTCAGTTAAAAAGGAGTTGGCTTACCAGACATCTCCACTGCGCGTCGTTTCTCTTCTCTCTGTTCAATCCGCTTCATATACAATCTAATTGGAGTCAGATCTCGGGCCGCTAAACTGGAGAGCTCTTCGAAAACATCGCCCGATCTAAATGACGACAAAATAAATGGCTCCACAAAAAGTGGTGAGCCTGCCATCGCCGACGAACTCAACGGGCTCCACAATGTAATGACATTTATCTGAAGGATTAAAAACTAGAGGTCAGTCTAACTAAGACCATTATTTCTACTAATTAGGTGATTCTAAGTGCTTAATTGCATATGTCATTACGCTTGAAGGTGCATATGAGATGCATCCTGAAGTTAACGGTTGTTTGAAATGCTATTTTTTTCAACTGTGAATAAAAAACAGCTTTTCGAATTCCATATGTTGTAGGTATTGATGTAATGAGGAAGGTGTATCTTTACACGAGGTAGTGAGATTTGATGTCTTCGTGATGGCAGTGTCAATATCATCTGGTTTACTGTTCTGTGAAATGTCCGTGCTGATTAGCAGATTCTTAGTATGTTGTCAAGGTAGTGCGTTATCAGGAATACTTATGGGATATTTCGTCAGTGACGATATTCTTTCCATAAACAGTGCCCTATCTGCCAACCTTCCGGAAGCGGACCATATATTATGTCGAACATATGTAATATTCAGTGTTCTTCAGAAGTTACGTCTTTTGCGTTGAGTTAATAAGCT